CATGTTTTCATCCGTGTTTTCGCTCCTCAATTTGTTACCTAATGTTAATGTTTTGTTTTTGATGTTTATTTTTTCTTTAAATTGAAACATTTGTATCTTTGTGTAATTTTCATCATGTAAATCAAGGCTAATCATAAAAAAATGGGCACATAAAGGGTATTGGTTAGACTGATGTCCAAATTATTGGCATTATCATCTGCCTTAAAGCTCACAACATTTAGGCCCCCAGGGGCTATTTTTTAAATTTTTAGAAGAAACTTCCTCTCAGAGTAGGTTGACAACATGTACCAAAAACCTCCTTATTCAGGCCTCTTCTGAACAAGCTGGTTTGGCTCCCAATGCCCCTGTCCTCCAGAAGGTCAACCCGCAACCATGACAACCAGTCCGAGTTTGTAGGAACGGTGGCTAGTAGCTCGGAGTGAAGGCTGACCTAAACTGATGGGCTGCTACAGGCTGCTCTGGGTGGCTTATTGGTGACAGCAACACACAACAGGAACAGCTTGACCAGATAACCACTTACTGGAATTCATTTAAGCTGTTAACAACAATACCAGACATTTTTTATTTCATCAGAAATACTGACAAATCTCACTCAAATACTTTCAAAATACAGCCTGTTTTTAAAGGGACCCAGAGAATAAACAGCGTTTCAATAAAACATACCAACAAGTAGGCCTACAGCAGCACTAAACATGGAGCCTGAGATAAACTAACCAGGCTGCTATTAACAAAAACTATCTGGTGCACAGTAAGTATGGCGTGGGCAAAGAGAAGTACTTTATGCTCACAGTTTAATATTTCCTGAACACCAATTAGCAACTCTCAGCCACAAAATCATTTTGTGGGAGCCCACTTTTATTATTTGCACAAACCATAATCTGTTTTTTTATTTCAGATATATCATTTCCCAGGTTCTTCATTCTCCTCCACGTCTGTCCTCTTTCTGTTAGAGCTTCTGCTCTGCCTCCAACCTGTTCTCCCCAACTTTAATGCTCTAATTAAAGCTCCAGTTTCCCTGCTCTGCTGTTTTTTCCACAGGCCGAACTGCAAATGGCCAAATCAGTTCACCTTAATCTACAGTGAGGGGGAACAAAGTGCTGTTAAGGGGATGTTAACATCTATCTATCTATTATTTATAGATTTATTAGGTTTATTAATAATCCATTCATTCTAAATAAAAACTAATTAATTCATGCAGTAACAGCAGGACAGCTTTTAAAAAGACAAAATGTACGAGTTCAGCCACTGCCACCGATGTCTTCAGTCAGTGATGTGTTTTAAAACTACGTTACCCATAATTCTTTCAGTCCACTCCAACTATCATTAAACACATTAAAGATTGTTTGAATGTATTTCAATGAATCTAAATATATATATTAACAATTTACTTAACGGCGTGCTTTATGTAAACATACATATTAGGTATACTATCATTTATAAATCTTTTCATATAAATCATTTATATCATTTATCATTTTTAAACTACATTTATACCTATAAGAAGAATCTTTTTTGGGGAAAATATTGTCACAGAAAGACAAACGTGTTTTTATTTCTGAAGCATAAGTCATTAATATTGGCTTAACAGCTTAAAAAAAAAAAACGAAACAGTTTTCATGTCTATCTTACAGTGTGCCCTGCCTTGGTCAGTGCTGACTGTATGTGCACTAGTCCTGCTCACCATTAGGGAATTAGGTGCTACTTTCCCAGAACGAGTAAACAGAGGGAGCAGAAGAGGTGAGAGGGGAGGAGAGAGGGAGAATAGGTAGTAGAAGCATGCAGGATGCACCTTATCTCTCAGGCACACATGGCTGGATTAGCAGGAGCTGCTCAAATGTGGGAAAGAGGCTATGGCTGTGTGTGTGTTAATCAGCACCTCTTCTCATTTAAATCCGGCAGCATGGGAATGAGGATCCCAGCGCACCAGTCACTAGATGGCCTAAGAATCAACACACTCAGACCCTCTAAAATGGCACACTCACGCATATTTAAGAATTGGGAATAGAAAATCTTTATCTCTAAGGCCCCGTCCACACGAAGTCAAAACGAACACGAAACGCTGATATTTTCCAGAACGTTTGTCGTAAAGACGGAGACGTAAAATGAAAACGCTGCAAAATGTATGCCAGGGCTGTAAGTGGCGCTGTGGTGCCAAAGCAAAAATAAGCGACGAAATGTTGGGCATGCGCACTAATATTTATACATGGTTGCCCTGCGGGTCCATTTTGGTGGTTCAGTCAAATTCAGGTGCTGAACTATGTGGTCGATATTGCTCTGTTCTTCCTGGAGATATTCCAGAAGAAGAAGATTCTGTTGTAAGCCCGACAGCAGGGTGAGTAGCATGAGCAGCAACCATTCAACACAGTACGGCGCCATTGTTGTTGTGATTCTGTGTCGCGCATGCGTGTTTAGAGGCGACGCTATGACGCATGCGTGTAA